AAAAAAAAAAAAAAAAACTCTTCTACTACACACTCAAATGTGTGTACTTTTTCTTCACCAAAAGAGTACATACTTTAAGGGCGTAGTATAAGTAGGAACATTGAGACGCAGCACGTTTAGCGTGACCAGGCAACTGAATCTCTTTTGGATTCGTTTGAAACTTTTTTTTTACCCTGGTGGAAAAAAATACACAGTAACTGGCAACACTGTGTCTATGTAAGTTCCTCACTATCAAATTAATGTTTGTTAAACTGTTCGAGTTTCAGCACAGCACTTTTGCACATGTTGCTAATGCTGCTAAAAAATGACTGCTAAACTGCATATTTAAGCGTTGCCACTGACATAAAATCTAAACTCAACTAGTTTGACTTCTCTCATAGCACTTAAGGTCTCTTTAGTTCTCAAACATGAATATAATTAAAGCAAAAATGAATATTTTAAATTATATAATTGTGCAGTTAGTCTGTCGCTGTAAAGCAAATCCCTTCAGGATGATACAAGACCTCAGCTTCTTGTCATGAGACACATGTGATCTTGTCACTATCTTCACATCATATTTCTGTTTTTATTGTGAAATGGCACTAGTCAACACAATTACACTTTTGTTTAACAAAAATACACTGGTTTTCTTGTGCTGATATTGAATATGATCTCCATTCTTGCATGTATGGGCCTCGTGAGATACATTTTTGTGGTGCTGCAACACATTTGTCCTGAAGCATTCAAACCCTTGCAAATGAGATTTGTCAAGTTCAAGTTTTCTTATGTTTCAGTACAAGATTTACTGCAGTAAAAACAGTTTAGGTTAGCGGTATTAGCCAAGAAACGGGAATGAACTGGAAACTAGATCCTTCCTCTGCTTCTTCTCTTCCTGACAGGCATTTGCAAGCACTGGACCAAACCTCTGAGGCGTTCAGCATCAGTAGAAATGACAAGAAATGCCACATACAGATCATATCTGTGAATCCAGCGTTCAGCATTTTCTTTGGAGCAGATAAAGAATGTGGAGGGTTTTCTCTTCGACAGCAACAAGTGGGGGGTCTCTGAGGATTTGCTGGCGGCAGCAGCAGGTGAGGCGGGTGAGATTATCTTTGTCTGAAGTGTGAGAACAGCAGACAGTGGGAGGGAGTTAACAGTAGTGGGAACCTGCTGAGCTGGTGCTGTGGAGCATAGGGATGGGTCTTTACAGCGGGAACACACTGGACAGGAAGAGCAGATCAGGTTTCTTTTGAGTGCCGATGGATTGAAGCTTAAATGTGTGAGATCTTGATCAATAATGACTTCTGGCGTATGGAAAATACAATACTTTGAACAAATGACATTGGATTTATGGGTTTGTGGAGATTTATTACAGTATGAATGTGTTGTTTCAAAGCATTGGAAATCCCCTGCTGTCACAATGCAAGGCTGTTGATGAATTTTAGTGACAAATTGTTCATGTTTTAACATGCTCATAAAAAGAAAAACAGGTCTTGTCTAACAGCTTCTTTGGTTGTCATTATAGGCCATTTTTTTGGCAGACGATTGTTTCATTGTCCTCAGATGACTCAAAACTTAAGAAGACTTTTTGGTGGCTTAATCATTAATTATAATCTTGAATAGCTGAAATTTTTGCTCATGTCACCTGTTCTCTATAGTTTCCAGGGGTGCAAGTTTTGCTTTGCGTTTATTATTTTGTTGCAAACAGATTAAAAGGATAGAAAATTGTCATCATTTATTCACCCTCTTTTTGTTCCAAACCTGTATGACTTACTTTCTTCTGTGTAACATAAAATAAGTAATTTGATTTTTTGTGTGCTTTCAATATAAATCAATGGTAACCAAAATGGTTTGGTCACTATTTGGTCAGAAAGAAAGTCGTACGGGTTTGGAACAACATGAGGGTGAGTAAATAATGACAGGATATTCTCATTTTCGGGTGAACTATCACTTTAATCACTCAAAGAAAAAGTTTTTTTTTTAAATTACATTTATTATTATTATTTTATTTAATGTGGTCATTTTAAAATATAAAATTTTTTTAATTAAAGCTAGACTGCAGCAAATATTTAGACATTTTGAAAACATCCCCTGATTGCATCTCTTCTTAAAAGAGTTAACCTTACGTGCCAGGCCACTGAGTAAAGCGTTCAGTCCAGCCTCTCCAGGGGAATAACCACCGACAACTCATAAAATGGATTATTGCTTTAGTTATGTTATTTATGGTGACAGAAGTATGTAAACTGTATGGAGACAGAGAAGAGAAAAAAAATTACATTTATTATTATTATTTTGTTTAATGTGGTCTTTTTAAAATATAAATTTTTTTTTAATTAAAGCTAGACTGCAGCAAATATTTAGACATTTTGAAAACATCCCCTGATTGCATCTCTTCTTAAAAGAGTTAACCTTACGTGCCAGGCCACTGAGTAAAGCGTTCAGTCCAGCCTCTCCAGGGGAATAACCACCGACAACTCATAAAATGGATTATTGCTTTAGTTATGTTATTTATGGTGACAGAAGTATGTAAACTGTATGGAGACAGAGAAGAGAAAACACTCAGCCAAAGACCTCCAAAGTCAGCAGCCAAAAATAAAATCTGTGGTGTTGAGTTGTTGTTGTGATTGACGGGATTAAACTGACAAGTCCTTAACCTTTTTTTTTTTTTTTTTTTATACAGCAAACCAAATTTATACTTCAGTAATGAAGCTATTATTTAAGAATCGAGAACTGTTTTAAAAGGAAAGAACAAGTTGCCTGAAATCATTCAAACAATATATAAATTGATTAAAGCAAATTGATTTCATAATTATTAATTATTTTTACTAATTACTATTCACTGAAATACCACAATGCAATTGCTGAACTGTAAACTTTAAGAGTATTGAACAGTTGAAGTCATCTTCAGAAAAAGGCCCTTAATTTTCTAATTAACTCTCAAATGTACAACAACAATAGTTGGATTGACTTTCCACTCATACGTCATTAAAACTGTGCCTTTGACTGATTTCAGTGTGCTGTTGTCGTTCATTTCTATAAATCTTTTTCAGACCGTTACGGTGTCTTGTGTTATGCTTAATTATTCATGATAAATCTGATAACTTAGGAGAGATAATCAGAAAACAAAATGCGCAGATGACTGTGGAGGTGAGTGGAATTTGTTGAGAAGACCCTGTGGAGTCCAGGATCTGCAATTAAACTGATGAAGCACACAAGCGTGGATTAAATGCTCACTCAGATGTTCAGTTAGGCTACACAAAGCCGCACACATACATTTGCTGTGCCCTGTTCTCCAATTATAATTCATCATTCACGTCTCCGTGTGTCATCAGCAAGATTATATTAGCAAATCTCCAAGCGCCAAACAAAACCCTGAACACACAAAAACATGCAATCCTCACAAACAGTGTTCCCTCTAATTAACCCGTTTAGTGACTATTTGAGGCTGAGATTTTTTGTTGTTGTTGTTTTGTTTCAGGGTTTTATGTGTGTGTGTTTAAAAAAAAACTTTCATTATCATTTGTGTATTGAGATTTAAAAAGGAGTGAAATCCACCTTTAAATTTCTCAGTTATATGGTAATAATATGTTTCATAGTTTTTCCGTGCTGTGATGATGTTGAGAAATATATAGAGCTGGTGTGAAAGAGCAGGGGAAATCTGTGGGAATAGTAAATGGATAGTTAAATGCACAATGGAAATTTATGTGCCCGCAGATGTCGGAGACACATGTGCAACCTCAGAGAGCGACAGAAAAACCCCTTTTGACATGGTGCAATTAGTGTAAATCTTTAGTATTTTCACATTGAAATGTTTGAACCAAAATTCACTTAAAGGGGTCATATGATGCGATTTCATTTTTTCCTTTCTCTTTGGAGTGTTACAAGCTCTTGGTGCATAAAGAAGATCTGTAAATTTGCAAAGACTAAAGTCTCAAATCCAAAGAGATATTCTTTATAAAAGTTAAGAGTCAGCCACACCCCCCTAAAACGGCTCGTTCGAACACGCCCCCACATATCTACTTCACTATGTGGGAAGATTTGCACACCGCCGCCCAAATGTTCACGCAAAGAAAGAAGACATAACTTTTATTAAGTACTATTTTATGTGGAAAAACCTCATGAAAACTTATGTGCGCAGTGCATGTGCATTTGATTACCACAAGGTGTCAGACTTTCCTCAAGATAAAATATGGTTTTCCTCTAGCTTTGAGCTATAGCCCTACCAAAGAAGCATACATCAGCAAAATAGTTATACTGAGGTAAGCGAGAGACGTTTAGCAAATTAAGTTACAGTTGCATTGTTTATTCTATTTTTACTTTCTTTGAGGCCTTTATTACTATATTTACTTTATTATAGTGTATTACTTTCTAATACACGCAGTGCCGTTAAAAAGGAAGCAGGCTTTCCCATGTGCAATAAACATAACTTGGGGTGGTGTCAGTAAAAACAATTTGAACAATGTTTGCTTACTGGATTACAGGTTGACGAGACAAAGAGAGTGAAAAGAATTTATTTTTGAAGCTACAAGTTCAGACATGTGTCACTTAAGCCTGTCGCAATAATCAATATATCGACTTATCACGCAATATATGTATATGACCACATAATTTTTGGTGAAGCAATATATCGCCCATTAAATTTACTTAAAAATTAATGTCACCATGTTTTGTACATGTCACTTGCGCCTGTGTCTTTGCAGCTTCTCGTACATAACGTGGTGTAGTCATGAGGTGCTAGTTCAAATTTAAATAATGCTTCTACAAAAAAAGTTTCATCTGCAGATATGGTCTTGTTTAGGGATCTGTGCCTTTGTGCATACGGACATCTGACTGCTAAGTAGTGATTGTGTTTTTCAGCAATAGTGTGCACCCTTAATTTACAGAGAAAAGAAGGTCAGGGAAAAATCTGTAGATGGAAAAATCTCCATACAAGTTCTTTGTGCATTTTTCTTTTTTTTCTACTTGCACTTTTTGTTAGAAAATGTTTATTTTCTATTTATTCCGTTTTTTTAAGATATCTAATATTTTGATACTTAATTTCCATGATCTAAATATTCTTAAAAATTAAAAGTTTATTGTCATTTGGAAGTGTGTAGGCCTTCTTGCATTATTATGCTGTTACATTATGATTATATATTCAGTGGCATAAAATGGTCTTTATAATGACAATAATATCGCTTATCGCAATTATTTTTGGGGCAATATATCGCACAACAAAAGGTTGTTATCGTGACAGGCCTAGTGTCACTGCATGCTCTGAGACATGGAAAAAAATAAAGTGAGAGTGTAAAAATAAAAGCCACGGGTCATTTTCCTTTAAGACTGCCTTTAAGACTGTGCACAGAAATGACCAACACACACTCTTTGTTTAGTTAAACAAATAAAGCTTTCAAAAACTTTATGATATCAGTAAAAACCTGCATAGGATCTAAAATACAGTTGAACTATGTAGATTATTATTATTTTTTTTTATAAATTAGGGTGAATTCAGGTAAATGATTCACATGCAATACAAACCAAAATGTTTTTTTGTGTTTACCCAGATTTAGCAACATGTTCAAACGAGAATCAGTAATTAATTCAAATGTAGGTTGTTTGCCAATTTTTGCTGTCTAAATGATCCACGCACATAAAGACACATTCCAATTCTGTATTTATTGACCGTGATGTCTGTCTTGCATGAATTAAACAAGAGAACATGTCAAAAAGTAAACTAAAAAAAACATTATTATTTAGTCATGAGAGCAGCATCATAATAATTTGAAAATCCATGCTGAGATTATTCTCAGTTCTTCCTCTGAACTCTTCGTTTGTGTGCCCTTGAGGAAGACCATATTCTCCATCTGCTCAAGATCTACAGTGTGAATCATTGACCCCCCCCCACCCCCC